TACTTGTTATTATTACTAATTCATATTTATATGAAAATATATTAGGTCATGTGAAAGATCCGGAAATGTGTGGAATTGGCCCTGCCCTTCAGATGTTCTGAATCAAATTGGGAAATAAAATATAGTGGAAATTGCAGAGTACTGGTCAGCATGTAATTAAGTGCTAAATCATATGACAGGAAGTATACATAGTAGGGAAGATTAGAAGTAGAAATATGCATTAGGAATAATGTCATTATGGAAGACAGTTGTCCCTAAAAGAAATATTTTCAGGAGTTCTAAATTATACACTCAATAACAAAAAATCTATATCCTCATATTTAATGTCTCCCATTATGTCTGCCATGATTTACCCTTCATTCCTCCCATTTCTTCATCTTCTAAATCTAACCCATCATTCAAGACTATTATTGTATAGTGTAATAATTGCTCCCACCCCATAATAATTGCTCCCAGCTCCATAGCCATGAAGTTGATCTTCATAAAATGTAAATAGCTTCCTCACAAATTTGGAATAAAATCCAAACCCCTCTCTCAGCTTCCTCACAAATTTAGAATAAAATCTAAGCCCCTACAGGATCTTGTCCCTGGCTGTTTTTCCAGTATCATCTCACAGTGCACACTCCTTAGCTCACCTGGCTGGAGCCTTTTAAATTAATTTTGAGAACAAGTCAAATTCTTCCCTGTGCCAGGGACATTTGCATTATCTGCCCCTTTGCCTGGAGAGCCCCATTTCTCTCATTTTGTCATAATTCATTTATTATCTAGAATATCACAACATTCCTCCAGCCCTTTCTAAACTCCCTACCTTACCCAACCATCCATACTCTGTATTTTAGCTCCTTGTTTTCTTCATCACAGAACTTATTGCATTTTTAAAGTAATAAGTTTGTTTGTTCAAGATCTTTTTTTTTTTTTTTTTGGTAGTTATTTGTTTCTTTACTTCAGGAGAATATACGTTTCCTGAAGGTAGGAAACACATCTGTCTTATTTACCATTGGATCACAAAACTACAATAAACGTTTATTTTAAAAATGAACAAATCATTCATTCCAATATTTTTTCTCATTTTGTTCTATGTTCTATGTTTCTATATGTGTGAAGCAGGGTTATTCCTAACTATTGATTACATATTAAAATTGTCTTCCCTTGGTCACTTTGCTGGTGTTTGCTCTATTCTCCTAATCTCCTCTGAAAATTTTATTCATACTTTTATTTTCTCCATTAAAGTTCTTTTAATAAACATGAGCTAGTTCTGCCTCTTTTATTATACCCCTTGTAATATATTGTTTTTTCCCCTTATGGTACTTAAATTTTTGCCTTGTAATGTAGTTCTCTCAGCACTTATGTTATATCTATGAGTTTTGCTATCACTTTTTAGTATCGGTTAGGATTCTTTAGTTACAAGTAATAGAAACCATCTATGGCTAACTTGAAAGTAAGAAAGAAGGAAGGAAGAGAGGGAGGAAAGAAAGAAGGAGAAAAGGAAGGGGGAGATGGAGGGAGAGAGAGAGAGAGAAAGAAAAAAATAAAATACAACCCCTATGGAAAATGGTATGGAGATTCCTCAAAGAAGTAAAATTAGATCTACCAGTAGATATAGCAATCACACTACTGTGTATCTACTCAAAGGAAAAAAAGTCATTAGGAAAGAAAGCACACACCTGCACACAGCACAAGTCACAATTAAATACATGGAATCAGCCTAAGTGCCCATCAACCTCTGTGTTGATAAAGAAAATGTGAGACAGACACACACACACACACACACACACACACCCCATGGAATACTACTCAGTCGTAAAAATGAGGAAAATAATGTCTTTCGCAGCAGCTTGGTTGGAATTGGAGGCCACTATCTAAGTGAAGTAAATGAGGAACAGAAAACCAAATACCACATGTCCTCACTTGTAAATGGGAGCTAAGTTATGGGTATGTAAAGGCATACAGAGTGATATGATGAACACTGGAGATGCAGTGGGAGGGGTGAGGGACGGAGCAGAGTGAGAGATGAAAAATTACCTAGTTATTGGGTACAGTGTACACTATTCAAGTGACAGGTACACTAAAAGACCAGACTTTATCACTCTACAATTCATCCAAGTAACCAAAAACCACTCGTTCCTCTAAAGCTACTGAAATTTAAAAAAATAAAATAAAACATGTGGGGCAGCTCATGGAATGGGTGGAAAAGTAGAACAACCAGATTTCAAGAAAGTTAGAAATAGGAAAACTCCTCAGATATCAGTATCTAAAACAAAGGAAGAGAATCATCAAGGTCCCAATGTCAGAATAAATGAACTCTAACTGTTTTCTATCCTTACTTCATTTTACTCAGGGTTACAATTCCTGAGATAGATTTTGGTTGACCTAATTTGGGTTATTTGCCATCCCTTTGTCAGTACCTCAAAAAAGTGTCCCACCAAAATTATAGTCAAATGAAAGAAATATGATGAGATCATCTGCTTACAGAAGATGGAGAGATGGCTCTGGGTAGGCTAACACAACACATTTATCCTATAGCAACTTTCAGAGGAGAATAAACCACTTGTTCTGAACGGTTAATGGCACATAATAAAATATACGATATGTGTAATGGTACATGTTTGTTACACTGATGGCTGAAACCGTAAAATTTGAAAAATTTAAACATGTTATTGTTTGACTGAATTATTTCTTTTGGGGGTTTTAGACTGAGAAGCAGTTTTTTTTTTTTTTTAGTTGGATGATATAATATGACTATAACTTAATGGACAATTAGTGATAGCATTTAAAATTTAGCATAATATGCTTTACAAGTATAAAAGGATACAGTACAATTTCTATGTATTATCATATACTAGGGATTTATAACAACGAATGTTTACCAGTTTGATAACTTGAACTGAACTATTTTCAGTTATATTTAGCAGAATTATGATTTAGTTCATTCAATAATTCTGTTTCTAGGCAAGGTGTGGTGGCACACACCTGTAATCCCAGCACCTTGGGGGTCCAAGGTGGGAGGATCACTTGAGGAGTTTGAGACCAGCATGGCAACATAGTGAGACCCTATCTCTACAAAATATGAAAAAAATAGCCTGGCATGGTGACACATACCTATAGTCCCTGCTACTCAGGAGGGTGAGGCAGGAGGATCACTTGAGCCCAGGAGCTGGAGGCTACAGTGAGCCATTTTCTCGCCATTGCACTCCAACATGGATGACAGAATAAGACCCCGTCTCTAAAACAAATAGTAATAATAATTATATTTTTAGATCACCAAGTAGGTATTGAAATGCATACAACTCAGTGTATCCAAGTTGATGGAATAGTAGTTTAAATCTAGTGCACAAAGTTCATTTATGAGATCAAACACTATAGGTTCAACAATTCTACTTACAGTTAGTAAAACACATTATGCATTTGTACCCACCACCTGCAGTATCTAATCATTTACAGTTCTTTTTTTGTCTGGAGTTTAAGGCAAAAGATAATTGGATGGGGGCTCTGAAACTATCAAAAAGAGAAGCAGGCACACGTGGTGACTAGTGTTCTCCTGTGTGAAAGGACAAAACTCCAAATAGTTATCACTGTGCTTATGCATTCCAAACATGGGCTTCTCTTCCCTCTTCCCTCTTTGTCAAGAAATTTAGTTTAAAAACTCACTTTACATAGAGAATCATGCAAATCCACGTTTCAGTCCAATAAGTAGCTCAAATGACTTTGTTTCCACACTTTAGATCAAATAAACTTTAATACTTAAAATATACTATTTATTATTTTGTTCAATGGGCTGTTGCATATGTTCATTAGATAAAAGTTAGTTACCTCACAACATATTTAGGTTTGCCCTCATAGTTCCAAAAGATAGAAGAGTTTAAAAAAGGAAAGAAAGAACAAATGAAAGAGGAGAAAAAGAAAGAGGGAGAAAATAATACATGTGAATACATATGTGTATGCATATTTATATGAGAGTCTATATATATCACTCTGTGGACACAAACTGGTCCATTTGCAAACAGCCATCTTAGCATCCCAGCTTAGCCAAATCCAAAGAAAAACTTGTTTCTTTGTTCGGTCTTTAAAAAATAAAAGCTGGTTTCTTTTTTTAAAAAAAAATTACATATGTTACATATATTCATTTGATTTAGGTCCCAAAAGGCATTAAATTGAAACTCTTTAAAATTAGCTTTAGAAAAACTTTTATTAATGAGTTAAAAGTAAGTTGGTTAACATAAATCAGTAAGACTTTCTTAAGGCCTCTTGTGAGCCTAACAGCCTGCTAGGCATTGCTCTTCTTGCTCAAAATCTGGTTGTAATTTGCAAGTTCAAGTCGCTCCTCTTAAACAAGGCATAGAAGTCAAGGTGAGATTTGTCTCCTCACCTTTCCAGTCTTTCTTACGACTTCATGCTGTTCACTTTCCTCTTTCTTGTCCATGCCTCTCTGGACCTGCAGCTCTGAGGTTCTAACTTGTTTAAATACTGTACTTCCTTCAGCTCCCTGGTTGGGTGACTTTTCTACTGGGAAGGCTTCCCTGACCCTTCTTGCCTCCCAAGTTTAGGGAATTTGTAACCTCCCACATAATCATGCACATCACCTAACATCACATTTATCTCATTGCACTATAATTGCATGTTTGCTTATTTTTATCCAGTTGTAGTGTAAACTCTGGAAAGGCATAATGTGTAACTACTGTTGTTCTGTTGTTCATCATTGCAACTGCATGTAGAAGCCACTCCTTATATAAGTATTGAATAATAACATTGCTCAGCATTCTCCCTCCAACTCCTCTCACCCTTGCCAGCCCTATTCTCAAACAAAATGCAGCAACATCCTTTGTAAAAGCAATTCTCAAAACCAAACTGGCCTTGTATACAGTAAGAGTCCTCTGTTATTTATTTTTTTTCCTTTTTATACTACCTGGCTGTGTCTCAGCCTCTCCACCCTTTCCCCGCGTTGAACAAGTTGACTGCTATAAACAAGATGTTTCTGTTTTATATTCCGGAATGCACAACAACTGAAGCAAAGGCAAGGTGACTTTGCTGTAACTCAGCAGTCTTTTTAAAATGTTATCTTCCCCCCCTTCGTAGGTCCTCAGAACACTGCCATTAAGGGCTTCGAGGTGAAGATACATTAGATTAAAAATATAGCAGACAGAAACTCTGAAGCACTTTAAGAAAGCTTGGTCTGCAAGAAATCCTCGTCTTGGCTCCAGTCGTCAGAAAACTTGATCTTTATCAGAGGTATGTTCATCAACCTGCATTTCTTTTAAGATTTTTTTAAACAAATTCCTTTCATAGGAAAAAGAGTTTTATTTTTCCCTTATTTCTAAAATGTAAAAATAAAATTAACTTTCAATATGGGAAAGATCTCACTAAAGTCTTTCTAAGTTGGACTGATTTTATTCCGTAGAAAATGTACTCATTTCTATATTGCCTCCTCTTTTGGAATTCCACAGGTGACTTATGGTTTACTCTAAAGAAGGCTGCTTTAAACTGTGTAGTCTGCTGACAGCCATTTTGATAAATCTGCACGCCTCTATGCCTCTAGCCACTGAATATCTGTGAACACAACAATTCCGGGTTTTTGTTTTTTTTTTTGGAAAGACAGGTTATTCTGTTTATGAATGCAAAAAACAGAAGCAGTTTAGGTCTGAGTGAAATGGTCTGAGTAAACAATTTTCTGTTACTCTTGTTCCATCATCTCCACAAGGGAGATAAACTCGCTATGACAGAAGGTTAGGCTTTTTGTTTCTTTGTGATTTGCAGACTTTCAGGAAAGCCACACCAGGTTAGCAGCACTTTTTCTAAGGATCTGTTTCTTACATTCCCTATATGAAATTTGGTTGGATTTTTTGTTCGTTTTTGACTTTTTTTCTCTTCTGGAATGATTCTTGGTAAATTTGTCAATCTCCAGAAGGGGTTATAGATACATTCTACCTGAAAAGAAGTGAGACTTGGATTCACTTGAAGACGGCACTGAAACCTCAGGATGAATAACCATCTACAAGGATTGTAGAAGGAGAAACATCAACCAAAGTCAATAGTTCAAGCCTTTATTAAAAAGTTGCAACATGGGAGGCGGCTTGAAGATTGTACAGGATAAATTAAGGAAGGGCATTCAAAGTTCACTTTTGTTTCAAGAATAGTTCACTGTTTGATTTCTTGGAAGCTATGGGGAAACTTTGGTTGTGTTAATCATAGTGTCTCTCACAGTATCAAGTCGTGGTCCTTCAGGTTACAGAAGTATTATCAGTATTATCATATTACTTGAATATTTAATCCGTTGGCATAATTTATAAGGCTTTACAATAGATAATTTTCTGAAATGATAGAGGTACACTATGTTTTCACTGTAATGTTTGCATCATATCCTTTGAGAGGGCAGAAGAGTGCTGTCTTTAGCTCCTGGAATACTGAGAAATAAATCTATAACTGTATTTCACTCCCACCACTTTCACTCATACTCACACATAAATGTCTATAATGTAGATTTCTAAATATTAAACAAATATAAATGTGTCATTGATTCAACATACCTCAATGTAAGCTAATTATCTTTCACTTCATTTGTTTTATTTTCCAATTTTGCTATTCTCTCAGTTTTCCAGGATTTATGCCACTGTTATGTTTTTGATCTGATCTCTCATCTTTTTAAAAAATCCTGATTATATAGTTAGTCATTTATGCTAAATGTTTTTACTTTCAGATAAATCTTTTACTCACTCTTGGCAGAGTCCCAGTGCAACTTAACCTTCAGGCTTTCATGCTCTCTTTTCTGAGCTAACACATTTTATTCCTAACAGGTCTCTTTCTCTGCACCCTCAAACTGAAACTCAACCTGTACTCAAGTAAAATAATTGGATTTCTTAAATAGTACTTCTATTGTTTCCACCAGTTCATAACATTTTACATGCATCTCATTGCCTTATTTTTAATCTTGAACTGAATGGAATTTTCATCTCTGAAATCCCATACCATCAGTCAGTGCATGGCTTTGTACTTTGAAAGCATGCAGTTGAATGTATCAGGAACGAAATAATTTCAGTTTCTTGTTTTTTTGGTTTTTTGTTTGTTTTTGTTTTTTATAGATGGAGTCTCGCTCTGTCACCCACGCTGGAGTGCAGTGGCGCAGTCTCAGCTTACTGCAATCTCCACCTTCCAGGTTCCAACGATTCTCCTGCCTCGGCCTCCCAAGTAGCTGGGATTATAGGCACGCACCGCTACCCCCGGCTAATTTTTTATTATTAGTAGAGACAGGGTTTCACCATGTTGGCCAACCTGGTTTTGAACTCCTGGCCTCAAGTGATCCTCCCGCCTCGGCCTTCCAAAGTGCTGGGATTACAGGTGTGAGCCACCATGTCTGGCCATGGCCATGATTGCAGTTTTTAAAGGATCTATGTTCCCACAAATTTGTAACTGCCCATTGTATTTATTAATTGGAATTTGTAACCTAGTAATAAGACCTTTCAGTTTTAAGGCTTTAGACGTGGGGAAACAGAGGTGGAAGTTTGGAAGCAATAGAGGGTAAATTAATAGTTTAAAAGCAGCCCCTTCCCACACAAAATACAGCTTTTCTGTGACAAGTGGAAGTGTGATGGAGGGGACGTGGGAGAACAGGTTTCAGGTAATTTAACATTGATAAAATGAGTAACAATACCATTTTCTCTTTTTAATTCAAAGTATAAACTTTCTTAGTGGGTCTCTTTCCTAAAGGGAATAAAGCTGCCTACTTACACAGCTTCATCGCTGGCCTGAGGGCATTTTAGTTTATTTCAGCCAATTAAAATAACGATTACCACAGGAGGTGCTTATGGGAGTACGTTCTTCTGGTTGAGTCCCCACCACTCCTGGTATGATTAAAACGCCTCAATTTCAGGTTTTCATATTGCAATGACTACTTCTACGTCAAAAAAATACTTGTACAGTAATTTGGAAGAGCCCATTCTATTTATTCCCTTCATTTTCAAATTTTGTTCTTAATGTTTTACAGACTCTTTTCTACAGTATTATATCCTGGGCTTCACCTCTTCTTACTCTTCTTGGAAATAGTTTGTACCTACTAAATTATTATATAAAAGCCAGCACCGTTGTTAAATATAATTTATAATGAGCTAAAGTCAGTAACCAAAAAAGTAAAAGAAAATAAAATGTAGAAGAGACCACTGTTTTGAGCTGAACTCCTGCACTAGGTCCAACAGACCAAACCAAAACAGAGTCACTCAGACTAAACTTCCATGTAACCAAGCCAAAACTAAATGGCTTATCTAACCGTCCCAGAAATCAGAAGAGAAATAATAGCCAAATTCCCCAGCAGGCCAGTTTTAGCTGGCATGTTAAGTACCCTCTGCTTTAACCTTTACAAGGGAAATAACTTTGAAAACCCAAAAAACTTTTGGTTCCTCTGTTTCTGCTTTTCCCAGTCCTTTTCTCTCTCTAAAGCCAACCTCTTCAGCTCATTGGAAAACTCTGTTTTGTAGGATGAGGTGTTGCTAGATTCTAGAGTGGCAAATTAAAGCCAATTAAGATCTTTAAAGTAAATTTGTTATAATTTTGTCTTTTGCCACCATGCTTGCTTTATTCTGTCAGGAGAACTCTGAGATCCATTTTATTGAGTTTGTTGAAATATTTCCATAATAGATTTCCAGCGTAAGCTGCTTTATTTCTGACAGCAAAGTGATAATTCCAAGCATCCTAACTTGACATATGAAAAATCTTAATGATAATGCTGATTAACATATCTTTTGCATTTAAATTACTACGTTTTTTAAGAAGAGAAAATTGTACATTTGGTGGGTTGTTTGCATAGTCAAATAAACATACATCAGGATGTGCAATCTAGTAATTAGGTGCATTTATCTGTTTGTGACACTACTGGAAAATAGTTTGAATGAAGACTTTAGGGGCAAAATACTCCCACTTGAATTGCCACTTCAAAAAACATGACCTCCCATAGAAAAATCAGTGCTTATGCCTAAATATAGGAAGCCTATGCCTAGTGCTTGGTTGCTTCAGCTTCATGTATTTATGAAAAATCTTTTTTTTTTTGAAATAATATATAATTTACATTTGTTGGATTTGTTCAACTTACATGTCATCATATTAGGAAAGTTTCTACTTCATTTATTTAGAGGAAAAAAAGAGGTATTGAACTAAGGCATTCCCATCATCCTAAGAATTCAGGTATTTAGAAAGTATTTAGCATTTTAAAGTACTCGTACTAACCAAAGTTCAAAGAAAGGAAGGCTGAAAAACGCAAGACATTTCAGTGTGACATGACTGTCTACACAAAAACATGGCAGTTCAGATATGGAGGTTTCCAGCAAATACTCTACTCAGGATTAAGCAAAGTTAGTTTTGTTTTTTGGAGGACTGTTTGTTTTTGGTGAAAATTCCAAAGTGATCATAACATTTGCTTTTTTCTAAAATATGTTTAAATCTTATCATGAATATTTATCAGTTCAACAGGTACAGATCCATTTTAGTGTGTCAGTCAACTTGATAGTGATGTTTAAGATTGAGGTCTGACCAAAACAGCAGGTTCCCCTTTCTCCTCCTCTCCCCACCTAGCAAAGGTAAGACAATACCATACTTATTATTTTTACCCCTACAGATTCAAGTGTTCTTGGTAATCTATGGGAAATTTGTTCTTTCTGATGCCCCAATTTTCTGATCTTTTTTTAACAACTTTATTTTGATACCGTGTAACTTTAAATATAGTAACATAATAGACTATACACTATATTCAAGTCAGGCATATGTTTTAGTTGCCTCCATTTTACTGACAGGGAAGAAAAATGAATTTGTTCTTTACCTGTAAAGAAGAGGGTAGATCTGAAGAAGAGGAGCTTTTGTTCTTGTGAAATGGGAGTGGATGGGATGTCAGTCTGAGAATTCATTTACTATACATCAGAATGGTATGTCAAATTGTGAGTTGGGGGATTGTGTGCCTTAGAATAAAGAGGGGATTTCAATAAGAGAAAAGGAAAGAGAGAACGAGAGAGAACGTGATTGTGAGAGAGAGAGAGACATTTTAAGAAAGAAAACAATTAAAATGAAGAAATTTTGCTCTGTTAGGCGAAATTCTCTCCTCTACTCGTGACTTCATGAAATCCTCAGTTAGAAACATTACTCAATAGTGCTATTGGAGAATTTGCATTTCTGGTATTAGCATGATTATAAATGCATGCAGATCTGGCTGTAGGAGCTAGTTGAGAGCGGGGTAATAATTTTATTATATTAAT